CACAATGAACGTCTCACGTGCTCAACAATATTCTCTCTCCGCAGTTCAATTACACATTCATTACCTTGCTTCAGTTCTTACTGGTTTATATATATAAGACTACACTATATCTAGAAAGATCCGAGATTTAAGGAAAGGACGTGAATGTTTTAGAACTAGTCACGTGACCTCCGCTGACGCAACAGGCTGTTACAAATTAAATTACTCTGTGGTTATTCAGTGTTTTCAAAGATTTAAACAACTAAAAATGAGTTTCATTAAATGATGGCTTTTGACTTGGTTAAAAGTACGAATATTTATCGTAATTTGGAAATAATCGGATGTCTTAAATAATCACTTATGTTTTTTCCAGGATAAAAAAGTCAAAGATTCGTCGAATAAATACTTATTTTTTTAGACAGATCAGGAAACCGGAATTCACGATGTAAACTACTGTGTGGTCCATGATTTTAACGGTAAGAAACCAGTTTTCAAAGGTTATAATTCATGTGACGAATTTCATAAATTCTTATCTTTGAAATAACATAAGAATTATACAGCTGTAGCACGCAATATGAAAGGTTTTGACGGGCACTTTATTTTGAATTATATTATTCGTCAAGGGAAAAAGCCCAACATTATTGTAAGCGGTGGAAAAATTATGGTACAAAGGTCATAACTAGAAGAGATAATTGTTTGCTTTACTTCTTTATTTAATCTTCTATGTTTTAATAAAAATAAGTTTAAGAAATTATTTCTGAATAGTAATAATCTACATACATATATAATGTATACTAATTGAAATGTGACTGTATTTTACAAAATAATAGTCCACTAAAACACAGTCAAGACAAGTCACTTTGTATAGACTGAAAGTCAGTTTTATATTACAAAATGCAGTAAAATTCTAGCTTCTGTATTGTTAGCCAGCCACGGATGAAAGGTCAATATAATAAAAATAATAAATATATATAAATGTATAATGTTATGAGATTTAAGCTATTTAGTCTAAACAGTTATGTTTTCGTGTTATAATCTAGGTTCATTCTAGAATGAAAGAAGCATGATTTATATTTATTTCCTAATTTTTATGGTGGTCACGAGGTCGGTTAAATCAACCAAACCCATACAGAAATACAGTAGTGAAAATAACAGATAAAGTATATAGTTTTTTCTTAAGAAACGTTTGATAACTATCTGGACATTATAAAGATTTCGCATGTGAATTTTGAAAATTTTCTGATGCATAAAAGTATTTTTAATCTAAAAGTGAAAATTACTTTGCATAATAGATAGGCAAGATGTGAAAAGAAGGAAAAACGGCACGAGAGAAGCATTGCTTTGCAAACCTCACGACTTAATATAAAAATATATATTTGCGTATGAAAGCACTGTAATGTTCACTGATAATCTGTCAAATTTCGTTAACATTCGCTTACTAATTTAAAAGTTATAGCATGAAAACTATAACAAGCAAAAAATGGTTACGAGGTCGTCACACTGACCGACCCCGTATTGAAAGAGTTAAACTGGATCAAATTATTTCTCAAATAAGTCAAATTTATTTTACTTTAAGATCACGATCGCCCTTTACCTGTTTTCGTTATGTTTTTTCCCCTGATTTTGTTCTTAATATGCAAGTTGCTACCTCAAAGTATTTATATTGATTGCATTTGGAAACTTGTTTTAAATACTTATTTGTATAAATTATGGTCTGCTTAAAATTCTACTAAAAGCAATTAAGTATGAAATATTTATTAAGATAATAAACTATACACTGCTGATTTTAGAAAAATACGCATTGTATAGTGCTCACATTTAGCACGTAGCATTTACAAACTATCATTATATCTTCAGAAAATATAATTTTGTAACGTATCGGGTGTTAGACAGGGGATTTTAGATTATTTGGTAAAAATAATGCCAAGTTCACTCCACATAACAATAACAAATAAATTTATTTCTTCTATAACGTTTACTAGTGGCTACAGTCACTTTGATGTTAGTTGTAAGCCTAAGTTCACAAATAACATATGAACTGAAATTTCGAGATTACTGGTATTCCTAACTTATAAATAAACTTACTTACAGAATTTCCTTGCTAATCGATCGATTTACTTAATAAACGCTATAACTCTCACTACAAACAGTGATATTAATCACTCACTAGTATGCCACTGAATTCTCATAAACTAATAAAATATTTCACTAACTAACAGTGGTGGGGTTCAGCCGGTTCGTGCGAACCTGTTCTTAGAATTTAATGACCTCCACGAACCGGTTGTTAACAATCGTATGTATAGGCCTAATGATAACGTTACAACTTACAAGTACGCGTGTTTACAACGCAACTTTACTAGCAGGCTAGGC